TCGGACAGGGCAAGGCTATGAATAATTCGAAAGTGGTCAAATGCAAAATTGTTAAATTTTGGATTACACGGGACAGTCTCACAGTCCCCTGAACCGCATTATGTAGCCCATTCTGCCCAGCCCTTTCTGCAATGCTAAAGCGCTAAATGAAACAAGTCTAGATTTCCTCAGGTTCTGAATCTGCCTTCTCCCTGGGTCTCCTTTTTAATTTAAAAGGAATGGGGTTTTTTTAACAAAAGTATATATTTTCAGAAACTAAGCGTTAGTTTAGGATTACACATTCTCAGTGAGGTACATATTCTTGAACGTTTGACTTTTGACTATTTTATCTCTGAATACTCAGTGACTTTGAGAAAGTGATCATAATGTACCGGTAACGTGTTATACATGGGATTACACTTAAAGTACATATATCGTTCTACACAACCCAGCATTGACGGATCCCACCAGAGTGTCAGCGATCTAAGCCACCCCTAGGCAGGATTATTTTCCCTACCCTCCCTTTTTGGGAAAATGAGTAAAGAAGTCTAGACATGGAATGTTAACGGTTTGCACTGGCGGAGCAAAAAAGGGGTTCAGGGATTCGTACCCCTGAACCAACCACCCCTGAACCCCCCTCCCGCATGATAACATGTTCCATACAACAGTGTAAATTCACCATATTTTAAAATCTCTTCTCTGAAAATGACTGTTGTGAATAGACTGTTAGACAATAAATACATGTCTCAGGTTCATTAAATTATTCTTTGTAACTTAAAAAACTGAGTTATTTTCTTTGGATTGTCTGGTCTGGTTAAATCCATTTTGGGCTGGTAACATTTTGAAGTTACCAGCTACCGAACTTTCCCACTATAGTCCGATAACTGGTTCTCTGGACCACGCACTAAGTGTACCCCTCTATTCTATCACTGCCTGGCAGATTTAAACGCTCTGATTTGTGGCAATTGTGATATTTTCCCATTATGTGTGACATCCCGCTCGACAAGGTCATAGCGAGTTGAGAATCATTACATAAATGTCATTCGAATCAAAGCAACGGGAATATTTCCAGAAAATGTATGTTTAATGAGTTCATAAAGTGCCAGGGATTTGACACCATGTCCCGCATATTATTGGTTTTATTCGGTTGGAGGACAAAAGTATGACGTCACTGGAAGTTCATAAGGTGAGTTTATGTATGTATACGTCAATCATAGTGAGTGACAGAAGAGAATATCTCTTAACATTTTTAACATTTAACGGAGAGGAATATCTTAGATTAAAACCAATGAAAAATTCATGACGATGCAAAATGTCTTGTCGTTTTCTGATTCTAATATGTTTTTTTCACGGGTCCATATAAATATATCAAATGTTCAACTATTTGTCTGGAGTGGGTGAGTGAGGGAGTAAGTGAATATTACGTTACTAAACTTCTGCAAATTTAGAGACATTAGGCACCAGTCGTACACCTAGAGTTCACCTGCCGAAAGGAATATCGCTGAACCAATTTTAGAGACATTAGGCACCAGTCGTGCACCTAGAGTTCACCTGCCGAAAGGAATATCGCTGAACCCATTTTAGAGATATTAGGCACCAGTCGTGCACCTAGAGTTCACCTGCCGAAAGGAATATCGCTGAACCAAGTTTAGAGGCATTAGGCACCAGTCGTGCACCTAGAGTTCACCTGCCGAAAGGAATATCGCTGAACCAAGTTTAGAGGCATTAGGCACCAGTCGTGCACCTAGAGTTCACCTGCCGAAAGGAATATTGCTGAACCAAGTTTAGAGGCATTAGGCACCAGTCGTGCACCTAGAGTTCACCTGCCGAAAGGAATATCGCTGAACCAATTTTAGAGACGTTAGGCACCAGTCGTGCACCTTGAGTTCACCTTCCGAAAGGAATATCGCTGAATCGAACAGGGATTAACGAAACTAGATACAACATAAAATCAACAAATAACACCAATTTTTAAGAGATGTCTAGAAGTTTCGTTGTCATCTACACTGACAAACCGTGCCCGGCCGCGTCATAGCACAAAACAGTATACGATGGCAGGGGCGGATACAGCTTTTTGAGAAAGGGGGTGGGGGTTGGGGTTGGGGTGCACACTATTGACGCTCTGCATGGATAAAACAGGAACAGGTCGGCTATGAGTCGGTATAGTGTACTCAGAGTAGAGCATTCATGTAAAACTGCACACGCACGCACGCACAAGGACACATACTCGACCCCAGGCAAGCGCTGTAATCTTGACAGAGGCGTCCTATCCCAATACACTGATTTATGATCTAATGGATTTTTAACGAGCGCTACCATTCAGCTGATCTATACTGATAGCGGTTTATTGAGGTTCCATTAAATACATTATTTCTGTATAGGAATAACCTCATTCCTATTTGACGAGTGTTGGTAGATATGCTCTGGTTACCAACCCGTTATTATATTCAGCTACTTACGCACCTCTGTTTAAGGAGGTCGATGGGTACATTAATGTAGGCTTGTGGTTAAAGCGTTGGCTCGTCTCTCTGAATGTCCGAATCAGAATTCCCCTATGGGTTCAAAGTGTTAAGCCCAATTCGTGTGTCCCTCCTCGTGATATTGAATAGGGGTGCCTATTGGGAGGGAAACAACTATATTAATAGCGATAATCTGTTGCAACATACTATTGCGACCAACTATTGCAATACTATTGCAATAGTTTTTCTCTGTTTGAATTGTCTCATTTGAAGTCATTTCTCAAATGAATGTACAGATTATATGAAATAAAAACAAACTGAAATAGTTTCAGTTTCTTTTGATAACTGACAAGAAACAGTTAAAACATAAACTCAATGAAGCTGCAAGTCTGCACCCACTGATAAAATACAAAACATCATAGATATTTTAAAGTGAACGAATCTGGTACTTCCTGTATTTTGCGCTGCGCATTTATCAACAGATGTCAATTACTGAACTATTGACAGTCACACATACTATCCATGCATCGATAATTTTTCGTTTCTACCATCGATTAATTGCTATCGGAGACTCAACAATTGCAATCCATCGATAGTTCGATGCATCGTTACAGCCCTAATATTGAAGCAGCATTATGTTACAATATACGAGCTCGTTTCATTTCTTAAAAACGGCGCATGACAATGTATATTATGCCAAGGATCTGTGAGAACCAGTCTTCAGCAACCAGTGATGCCGCTAACGGGATCGGGTGGTCAGTCTCGTTGACTTAGTTCATGCATGTCATTAAATCCAAATTGCGTAGATCGAAGCTCATGATTTCAATCACTGTACAGCCTAGTCCAGACTCGAGTATTTACACATAGTCATATAACTGGAATATTGCTGGCGTATACAATTAAAGAAAAGGCTAGGAGTAAGGCTAAGTTGAAATGTAAACTCGTTTGATGTCCGAAAAATTAATCAGGTAATAAGGGGTGCCTATAGAAAATATCGAAAGCCTTGTCTTCGAACACAATAAGTAATATACTCAGATTAGTTAATTATATTAGACTCTATGTTGGAAACGAAAACAGCATTGATTCCCAGGTAATTTTCTAAAATGATCAGTAGACGGGTAGTAAGTGTCAAGTGGAACAGATCTTCGATTTCAGTGTATGAAGAATAGGTTCACAGACACTCGGGTGTAAAATATCCTTCTCTCTGAATCAGTACCGAGAAATAAGTGTCAACTTTTTAATCTGGAAAATACAGCGAAACCTGTCTAAACCGGCATATACACTGACTGACTGACTGAGTTTAGTTTTACGCCGCTTTAAGCAATATTCCAGCAATATCACGGCGGGGGACACCAGAAATGGGCTTAACACATTGTGCCCATGTGGGGAATCGAACCCGGGTCTTCGGCGTGAAGAGCCAACGCTTTAACCACTAGGCTACCCCGCCGCCCCTGGCATATACACTAAAGGAGCAAATAAGTAGATAAAATTCTTCTTTTATATGAGAATGTCTCCAATTAAAGGTATTTTTCAAAGCGAGGACTTGTTGTATTGATCTGTAAATAGATAAAGACATATGATATAAGATAGAAATAGACAGATTTAAAATCGTTTGCTTTAAAGTGCAACGATAGCCAGTGATTTCCTGGATTGGGCCGAGATTCGCCTTGTTGTTGAATTAAACGTATGAGATTTTACCTGCGCATCATTCATTTTTTTCGGTGTTTTTCTTATTTTGTAGTTAGGCATTACTTTTCCCATTATTTGTTTGCAGACATTTTCACAACACTTTGGAAAGAAGTGAAACAGAAAAACATATTTAAAGTTCGTATGTACAGGCTCGGGATGATGCCTCAGTAAGGGACCGTTCATAATTTATGGCCGGTGTGTGTGTGTGTGTGTGTGTGTGTGTGTGTGTGTGTGTGTGTGTGTGTGTGTGTGTGTGTGTGTGTGTGTGTGTGTGTGTGTGTGTGTGTGTGTGTGTGTGTGTGTGTGATGATGATGATGATTTTATGGAGAAGCATATACAATGTGAATGACCCCCTAAAATTTATGTACAAAGTAAGTGACCCCCTGCACGCCGTACAAAATCAATGACCCCTCCATTATTTTTTAAGCATAATATTTAAATATTTTTATGTACAAATTGCTGAACCCCTAGAATTATGTGTACAAAATTGCTGAACCCCTACCTCCTCAGAACAAATTGGGTGGGACCCCCCAAAAACCAACAAACGACATCATTATCACCCCTACCCATAAATTATGAACGGTCCCTAATTTGACTAATTCTCACCACTTGAGCTTATTTGAAATTTGGCAGATAAAAATTTCACACACTTTTGCAAGAAACAAACCTACATAATGAGTGAAATATTGGTGCCGTTTTTACAGTGGTATTACGTCAAACAATATGGATCACGTGTGTACCTGTTGCGGTGTCAGACTGGGATCTTTCTACACAATAAACGGTGGCGTTTTATACGCAAGAAACTAGTCTTCCGTAAATTATCTATCTTGTGCAATGATTGGTCAGATAGTCTGATATCCACCAATGAAATCATCGCTACCCAAAGAACCTCAGCAGTCAAGCGGAGCGGAAGGAAATAGTCGTGTGGAAGCACGTATTCTATGTTCAGGTGCGTAATACTGTGAAAAGTAGTCTGACTTGATGTGATGTATGATAAATGTATCAATAATAGAAATATGCATCTGTCTGATCGGTTGTCAAGATGATAACCAGGCAACATGTCACATAGGCGACATTTTTCTGACAATTGTCCTATATTCGATCAACTAAACACTACATAATCTCCATTATATCTTTACCTATTAATTTGTATAATGATGAGATTTAGGTCATGAACGTGTAACGCAAATAACTGAGATAAACCTGGGTTGCAATCGGAGTACCAAGACGGGGTATGGTGACATTTCTATCAGTCAAATGACACGTTGATATATTGTATTAAAACAGCCTTTTCTTTGAATGTTAGTCGTAGAGAAACGCATAATAAATATTAGCTACCTACCTTGGTACAGACTATGCTTGTGCGCAACATGCATGCATAACAGATGCACTCACCCATCCCCCCACCAATTCCACATCCCAGATTCCCACTATCATCAGCACCTCACCCAACAGCACAAAGTATATAGTGCTCTTGTGGGGTTGAGTCCCATCCAGGATTCAAATCCACACCCCAATTTGCTTTCTATGGACACTTGGTTTGGAATTCTAGACAGATCTCGGTCATCATATTAATATGTGGATCGACTTTTATCTCACTGTTTGAGAGTGCCAAGCACCCAGATGTTTAGAATGAACGCTCCTGGTATTGTTTTCAGCTCTGTTCTGCAGCAATTATGACCAGACCTGGTCAAGATGAAGAAGAGAGATTTCTGGACAGCTGTTGTTGTTGTGTCGATCATTTACATCGGCCTGAGTTTCTGGATCTACTTTAGACTCGAATCTCAACTGTCACGAGCAGTCAGTCTGAAGAAACAGGAAGAGGTAGGATTGTAACGATATACAATTTTATGTCCTGATACACTTTGCTGGAATATTGCTTAAAGCAGCGTAAAACTAAACTCATTCACTCCTTGGCCAATATTAGTGTTGTTATATGATACACTTACCTGGATGCGGAAACTTGTTTTTATGTGATACACTTGTTTGTGATACGATACACTTATTTACTAAGCAGTATACTTGTGATATGATACACTTGTTTTTCAAGTGATACACATACTAGTAGTATGAGATTCCTATAGTGACTATTTGCAATCCTGATATTATATGTATTTGTATTCAATCAGAAGTGCCCCAGAGCCTACTCCCCCCGCCACGCCCACTTCTCTGGGAACACAGCAGCAGTGAGGCAGATCTCAACAACATGGCCGACCTGCCAAGCCAAACTGACAGCTGATCAACATGGAGTTGATATTCAGGTGAGAAAAATCAGGTAACAATCTCAGATTCATCAAGAAGTGTTCTTAGGTAATGAGAAATCTCTCGTTGCCTCTACTTCTGGACCCACAGATTTGATTGATTTCCCAGACTTTCACCATGTTGTGATTGACAACATCTCTATAATATATAACTTGTTTAGGATTTGTAATTAATGGCCTACAGTCTTATCAGTTTTGCTTGTTTAAAATGCATGTTTAGAATGGCCAGTGAATTCCTGGCTTAGAATCACCTGCAACCCTAGTTAGGCATCTTTGTAATGCTTTAACATTTTTAGTATTTATATTATCAGTCCATCAAACCCTAGATTACAATACAATAGGACAAGCCCAAAAAGGAGCCTGGGAACCTCTAAATTGCAGGAAGTTATATACATCCTGTCAAGACTAGTCTGTTGCTCCCAGTGAAGATCGGAATTGTTCTTCAGCAACATATGTTTGTCGTAAGAGGCGACTTATGGGATCATGTGGTCGTGCTACTGACTTGGTTGATGCATGGCGTTGTATCACAATTGCATGGATCAGTGCTCATGATGTCAGTCACTGGACTGTCTGGTTCTGACTCGATTATTTACTGACCATCATCATGTAGCTTAAATGTTTAGTGTTGAGTGCAGTATTTAATAACAAACAGTGGTCAGTACAGAATATTGCTCCATTTCCTTGTATAGGCACCATATACACAATAATTTGTAAAACATAATTGTCTGACATATTTCATGTCATTTGCTAATAACTGCTGTTGCTATGGCTTCAGATGGAGAGGGAATGGGCGTTTATCAAGGTGGCGTACCCCAAGTTCATCCTTACTGTGAGTGGGTGGGTGCCGGATCTCCAGGTACCCTACTACACAGTCAAGGGAGGGGACAGACCCCTGCATGTTATAGTGGTGCCCCACTCACACCAGGACCCAGGCAAGTAGCTGTCTTCTTATAACATTGCAGTGATAAGGCTAAGGTACCCACTTGCCCACCCACCCACCTGCCCCATTCACCTGCTGTAGGATATTGGTCTGTAATGGTTGTTCCCGGCTGTTACGTTAGTACTGTCCGGATGTTAATCACGGAAGTAGGAGAGCGGAAGTGGCGTTCTCGTCTGTTGTGAGATGGCGACCAGTAAACGATGTCAACCGATCTTGTCTCTTGTTATTGCTGAGTAGTTCAGGATCGAAGGGTCTACGGACAAGTACACAACAGATAAATGGCGACGAGGATGGGATCCACGGATTCCTTGTTGTAAGTCTATGAAAGATACGTGTTTCATAGTGAACTTTTCACTCGAAGTGAAGTGATGTTGCTGGTCGCCATCTCGATAAAAGGGACCACGGACCGACCATGTGCTTTCGTGGGAAGCTCGTTGACAAACATTAATTGTTATTTTGCTAAGGCGGAATATCCACAGAAACCTTAAAGTGAGGTTGCAATAATCACGTGAACATTGCATTATATATTCTACATGAATATAGTGAAAAGTACATGTATTCACGTGAATGCAGTATCAGTGTTGGAACTTTGGAAAATATTCTCGTGAATATTATGAACAATTGTCACTTGTCAAAGAGACGTTTCCTCTTCTAGGACGGATAACGTGAACTTCTGTGAATCTATGTGTCATTAATACTGTTGCTGATTTCGAGTGTGAACCATGAGTCAAGACGAAGGCCCAGGTGACCAAGGAGTGCCTCAAGTAAACTTTTCACTTATTCCTATTCCTAAATTCTCTGGAAAAAAGGAGGATTTTAGTATCTATACAGAACGTTTCATCTCAAGCATGGAAGCTAACAAGATCACAAATGCAAAACGGATTACCCATACACTTATCTCAACAATGGGTGATGAATTGTATAAACTGGCACATGACTTGTTCGCACCTGTCAAGGTGTCTACACTCAAGAGTGAGGACATCATTGAGAAATTAACACAGCATTTGAACCCTCCTCCGAGCATCATTATTGCTAGATGTAACTTCAATCGATTGTCACAAAGGCCTGATGAGACAGTCAATGAATATGTTGCTAAGTTACGACGATAGCAGAAGACTGCAGTTATGGTGAGAATCTGAACATGTGGCTGCGAGATCGATTTTGTGGCAGGTGTGCACAGTGAAGTGATACGTCGGCGACTGTTACAGGAGGATGCTAAGATGACCTTCGACAAGGCCTACCAACTTGCCGTTGGAATGGAAACTGCCACCAAGGAGGCAAAGAGTCTGCAGCAAGGTCAAGGACATGCAGTGAATAAGATGATACATAACAAAGGGCAATAAAGGCCGTGGATTCAAGAGGGACCAGATGGATAAGAAGCCAGGTAACCATGGTAACAAGGGCCAGAGACTGAGCTTAACCAGTGTACTTTCGTTGTTTGTCCACTAGGCACTCTCCACCGAACTGTCCATATAAGGATACTGTTTGTAACTTTTGTCGCAAGAAAGGACACTTGGTACGAGCTTGTAGGAACCGCTCGAACAGAAATCAATCTCAAGTTGGTAAGACCAACATGGTGGATCACTGTACGTCAGATGAATTCACAGAATTGTACATGGTGTCCTCAGTTAGTCAAGGTGGAACACAGAAAATAAAACAATCACTTAAAGTGGATGACATAATGGTTGAATTTGAAGTGGACACAGGATCAAGTGTCACATTGATAAATCAAGGGATGTATAATTCCTTGTTCCCGGACAAAGAACTTTTGGAAAGTTCATGTGTACTGAAGGCTTATAATGGGCAAAGCATACCTGTAATTGGACAATTACAAGTGGAAGTTGACATGAATGGGAAGATACTGGAGTTATCTCTCATTGTAGTGGATGGTACAGGTCCAGCACTACTGGGTCGAGACTGGCTACAGCATATGATGTCATGGCAACACATGTTCACGAACAGTATTGCTAATTCCTCGCAGAAGGAGGATGTCACCGAGATATTGAATGAATATCAGGAAGTCTTTGATGAAGGACTTGGACATTTGAAGGACTTTAAAGTCAGATTGTCAGTACAAGATAATGCTGTTCCGGTGTTCTGTAAGGTCAGGAATGTACCTTTAGCTCTACGCCAGAAGGTAGATGCAGAAATTGATAGGATGGAGTCCGAGGACATCATAAGGAAGGTTAGGTTCTCACAGTGGGCTACTCCTGTGGTTCCAGTCGTTAAACCATCAGGCGAGGTTCGTCTCTGTGGAGATTATAAATCAACTGTGAATCTGTTCTCCAAAACGGACATTCACCCGATTCCTAAAGTGGATGAACTGTTGGCAAATCTGAGTGGTGGTGAAGAATTTACGAAGCTAGATCTTCGTCATGCGTACCTACAGTTGGAACTTGACGAACCATCAAAAGAGCTGACAACCATAAATACAACAAAGGGGTTGTATCAATTCAACAGATTGCCATATGGTGTAAGTGCAGCACCTGCAGTGTTCCAAGAACAATAGAGATGGTGTTAAAAGGATTGATAGGACTTGTAATTTTCATGGATGACATATGCATAACAGGCAGAAACCGTACTGAACACAAGAGGAACTTGAAAGCAGTTCTCAAAGCTCTCAGGAGTGCAGGACTTAAACTTCGATTGGACAAGTGCAAGTTTTTCCTCAGCAAGGTTGAATTCCTTGGCTTCACGGTTGATAAGGATGGTATTCACCCTACACCTAGCAAGGTTTCTGCGATCAAAGATGCTCCAGCACCTAAAGAGGTGAATGAGCTGCGTTCTTACTTAGGAATGTTAAATCACTATTCCAAGTTCTTGCCGAACATGGCTACTAAGTGTGCACCATTGTATGATCTGTTGAAGAAGACTGCCACATGGAAATGGACGCAGGTTGAGCAGCAAGCATTTGAAGATTCCAAGTCTGATCTCACAAGTGATAGTCTTCTCATACACTATGACAGTGATAAGGAGATAGTTGTATCATGTGATGCATCTCCTTATGGCATAGGATGTGTACTTCAGCACCGAACGGAGGAAGGGGAAAAACCTGTCGCTTTTGCATCACGCAAGCTCAATTCCGCAGAGAAAAACTATTCTCAACTGGAAAAAGAGGCATTGGCCCTTATCTTCTTCGCGGTCACTAAGTTCGACAATACCTACTTGGAAGACAATTCACTCTGATTACGGATCATAAGCCATTGATTCACCTGTTCTCTCCATCCAAAGAAACTCCTGTGATGGCTGCATCTCGGATCAAGAGATGGTCTCTGAAACTTGCTACATTCCAATACAATATTGAATATAGGACTTCAAAACAAAATGCCAATGCAGATCTGCTTTCACGATTGCCTTTGCCTTTGATGGAAGATTCCACGGAATCTGACACAGAACTAGTTCTACTCCTATCACAAGTTGATGAGGATTTGCCCATAACTGCACAAGCCGTTGCCAGGGCAACAGATAATGACAAGTTGCTTCGTCAAGTACGACAACTCACACTTGAAGGTTGGCCTGAGGAGCCTGATCATGTATCACAAGAATTAAAGCCGTTCTATCAACGTCGATTGGAGCTGACAGTTGAACAAGGTGTTGTGATGTGGGGAACAAGAGTGTTGATTCCTACTATTTATAGGGAAGCCCTATTGAATGAGTTACACAACGAACATTCGGGAATGGTTCGTATGAAGTCAGTTGCGAGAGGTATCATCTGGTGGCCCTACTTGGACCGTGATATTGAGAATCTGGTCAGGGGATGTTTAGATTGTCAGGAGGAAGCCAATCATCCAGTATCAATCGTGCCTACCCCTTGGAAGTGGCCATCATCTCCTTGGACTAGACTGCACATAGACTTTGCAGGTCCTTTCATTGGACACTCATTTCTCGTAATTGTGGACGCTTCACTCCAAATGGTTGGAAATATATCAGATGAGGTCTACCACTGCTACGATCACGATCAAGCATCTTCGCCGATTGTTTGCTACATTTGGACTGCCACTCCATATTGTTTCTGACAACGGAACCCAATTCACATGCCAGGAGTTCCAAACATTCTTGCGTCGCAACAAAATACGACACACCACAACTGCACCTGCCCATCCGGCAACAAACGGACAGGCAGAAAGAGCAGTAGCATCTTTCAAACAAGCCATGAAGAAAATGAAGAATCAGGATGGTGACATTGAAGATAAGTTACTGAGATTTCTATTTTCTTATCGCACCACTCCTCACTCGTCAACAGGAAAAACACCTGCAGAGTTACTCATGAAGCGCACCTTGAGGACTCGACTCTCCGCTCCGGCCAGCAATGGAGAATGATATGTCTGTGAAGGAAGACCCTCACGACAATGCGCCCAGATACTTTGATGTAGGACAAGCTGTATTTGTCCGTAACTATGGTGTTTACGGTGCTAGATGGTTAATTGGCACTATAGTTGAAAGACTAGGGGACAGAAACTACCAGGTTTCTGTAGGAAGTCAAGTGTGGAAAAGACATGTAGACCAAATCAGGTCGAGAGACATAACTACAGGATGTAGATTGCCTCTCGATCCATTCATTCCGCACATTCCGGACCAAGATATTTCTCAACGAGGAAGGTCAGAGAGCATGTTATCCAGCAACCAGCCAAAGCAGGCAGAGAGCAACCTAGCACCACCTCTAACAGTTGTTCAGGGGAAGAGTTTGACTGCACCATGTGGGAAGCCAGCTGCGACACCAGCTGCTGTTGAAGAACCCCGTCGCAACCCTCCCAGAGATCGGAGAAGACCAGCCCGATTCAGTGACGTGTAATAATGAAAGAGTGTATAGAACACTAAAAGTGTGAATGTGTTCATTCATTGTGTTCTGCAAGATATTGTGCCAGTGAACAGTATTAAGTTCAAATATGAGTGCTACAGATTGAACTCTAATTTTTCTAGTGCTGATGCACATTTCCTTTTGATGTCATGGACATTATATTATTTGAGAAGGTGACAGAGGACTTATTGGTTTTAAGAGGGAAAATTTTAGTTTTTTTGGTTTTGTACCTCTCGGAGGAAATAGTAAAAAACAAGAGGGGGTGATGTAGGATATTGGTCTGTAATGGTTGTTCCCGGCTGTTACGTTAGTACTGTCCGGATGTTAATCACGGAAGTAGGAGAGGCGGAAGTGGCGTTCGTCTGTTGTGAGATGGCGACCAATGCATGATGTCAACCCGATCTTGTCTCTTGTTATTGCTGAGTAGTTCAGGATCGAAGGGTCTCACGGACAAGTACACAACACCTGCCGCCCCATTCACCCACCCACCCCATTCACCTGCGGCCCCATTCACCCACCTGTCCCATTCACCCACCCCATTCACCTGCCGCCCCATTCACCGCCCCATTCACCCACCCACCCACCCCATTCACCTGCGGCCCCATTCACCTGCTGGCCCCATTCACCCACCACCCCATTCACCTGCCAGCCCCATTCACCTGCCCCATTCACCCACCCACCCCATTCACCTGCGGCTGTCCCATTCACCCACCTGTCCCATTGTCACCCATTTCACCCTAAGGATTTTGTTAGTTGTCCTGTGCCCATTTCACATTTGCCACCTGTGCAGTATAAAAATGTTTACATTCAGTTGTCCTTCTGTATTTCAGGATGGTTAAGTACCTTTAGTCAGTATTCGACTCCTACACTAAGGGAACTCTGGACAATGCTGTAGAACAACTGACCAAGAATCCAACAGACTCCTAATGTCAACCGATCTTGTCTCTTGTTTTGTGAGTAGTTCAGGATCCTGAACATGCCCCATTCACCCACCCACCCCATTCACCTGCCGGCCCCATTCATGTCCCATTCACCCACCCATTCACCTGCCGCCCCATTCAGACCTGCGGCCCCATTCACCTGCTGGCCCCATTCACCCACCCACCCCATTCACCTGCCAGAGCCCCATTCACCCACCCACCCCATTAGGCCCCATTCACCCACCTGTCCCATTCACCCACCTGTCCCATTCACCCACCCAATTCACCCATTCCACCCACTCAGACTCCTAAGGATTTTGTTAGTTGTCCTGAAATGATTGCAATGCCAATTTCAGACATTTGCTTTCAGAGTTAGGGCCTCGGCGCAGGGGTAAATATCTAGTTTAATGCAGTATAAAAATGTTTACATTCAGTTGTCCTTCTGTATTTCAGGATGGTTAAGTACCTTTAGTCAGTATTACGACTCCTACACTAAGGGAACTCTGGACAATGCTGTAGAACAACTGACCAAGAATCCAACATGGAAGTTTATTTGGGCTGAGATGATATTTCTGGCAAAATGGTGGGAAACTGCATCTCAGGAAACCAAGGACAAGTTTCTGAAGTATGTCAACAAAAACATATGTGAATATTTTGAACGTGTCGACTGACTGACTTATTCTATACAGGCAAACACCATTGTGTTGAAGTTGAAGGGACCTAAGAAAATGTTTCAGACACATCGAAGTTCAACCCAATGGCATTTGACGATATTTAATTGATGTTGAACAAGGTCATTGGTAGATTAAATTAGTTTTACTGAGTAATGCAGGTAGTCATGTTTGGACAGCATTATGGAATTAGTTTGTTGTCATAGTTTCTCATGGCACTAATTCTGTGAGTGTACTAACTCAAGAGCTTGTTCACAATTGCCTCTGTTCACCCAGCAGAAAATGGGTACCCGGTAGGATAAGTCATATGACTATTAACCTTTAGATACCTCAGAGCAGCTTGGGTTATCTGGAGTAATAGTAATCAGATTGTGCGCTTTGAGCATCCTTATGGTTGGAATTAGAGCCATAGGAATGCACTATTATTATTATTATTATTATTATTATTATTATTATATTGTTATTATTGTACAGATTGGTGTCAGAGGGACGTCTTGAGATTGTGACAGCAGGCTGGGTAATGAGTGATGAAGGGAATGTGCATTATGAAGCCATGCTTGACCAACTTATTGAAGGACAACAGTGGCTGAACTCAAACATAGGTCAGTGGTATTGTGTTCTTGTGTTAAGGATGTCGGTTACATTATGTATGTGAATCTGTCAACCAAGTATTACCAGCAGTTCTCATTTTACTGTTATGTAGTGACCATCAGTACTTCATTGTAAATAGCTGAGTCTGTACCTGTTTGTCTGTTGTTTAATCCTGTACTCAACAATTTTACAGCTATATGACGGCGGTGTGTATATAATCGAGTCTGGACCTGACAATCCAGTGATTGATATCATGAGCAATGCTCTGGGACACAGTTACATGCATGAACCGATTCAGTGAGCCTGACAACCCGAGCCCGTTGCATGGGCTGCTATAGTTCAGTGTACCTGGAGTCTCACCCACCGTTGCATGGGCTGCTGAAGATGAGTTCTAACCTGGATCATCATGACCCACTGCATGATGGGATATTTTGTTCAGGTGTAGGTGACGAGGCTAAGACCGGCTGGTCTATAGTTCAGTGTACCTGAGTCTCACCCACTGCATGATGGGATATTTTGTTCAGGTGTAGGTGACGAGGCTAAGACCGGCTGGTCTATAGTTCAGTGTACCTGAGTCTCACCCACTGCATGATGGGATATTTTGTTCTGGTGTAGGTGACGAGGCTAAGACCGGCTGGTCTATAGTTCAGTGTTCCTGAGTCTCACCTACTGCATGATGGGATATTTTGTTCAGGTGTAGGTGACGAGGCTAAGACCGGCTGGTCTATAGTTCAGTGTACCTGAGTCTCACCCACTGCATGATGGGATATTTTGTTCAGGTGTAGGTGACGAAGAGGCTAAGACCGGCTGGTCTATAGTTCAGTGTACCTGAGTCTCACCCACTGCATGATGGGATATTTTGTTCAGGTGTAGGTGGCCGAGGCTAAGACCGGCTGGTCTATAGTTCAGTGTTCCTGAGTCTCACCTACTGCATGATGGGATATTTTGTTCTTTAGTTCAGGTGTAGGTGATTTTGTTCAGGTGGCGAGGCTAAGACCGGCTGGTCTATAGTTCAGTGTACTTGAGTCTCACCCACTGCATGATGGGATATTTTGTTCTGGTGTGTAGGTGAGGCTAAGACCGGCTGGTCTATAGTTCAGTGTAAGACCGGCCTGAGTCTCACCCACTGCATGATGGGATATTTTGTTCTGGTGTAGGTATATAGTTTGTTCAGTGTACCCTGAGTTCTCACCCACTGCATGATGGGATATTTTGTTCTGGTGTAGGTGAGTTCAGTGAGGCTAAGACCGGCTGGTCTATAGTTCATGATGTATTTTGTTCAGGTGTAGGTGAAGAGGCTAAGACTGGCTGGTCTCAGTGTACCTGAGTCTCACCCACTGCATGATGGGATATTTTGTTCTGGTGTAGGCCAAGACCGGCTGGTCTATAGTTCAGTGTACCTGAGTCTCACCCACTGCATGATGGGATATTTTGTTCTGGTGTAGGTGACGAGGCTAAGACCGGCTGGTCTATAGTTCAGTGTACCTGAGCCTCACCCACTGCATGAAGGGATATTTTGTTCTGGTGTAGGTGACGAGGCTAAGACCGGCTGGTCTATAGTTCAGTGTTCCTGAGTCTCACCCACTGCATCATGGGATATTTTGCAGGTGATGGGATATAGTTTGTTCTGGTGTAGGTGGGATTTTGTTCTGGTGTAGGTGACGAGGCTAAGACCGGCTGGTCTATAGTTCAGTGTACCTGAGTCTCACCCACTGCATGATGGGATATTTTGTTCTGGTGTAGGTGACGAGGCTAAGACCGGCTGGTCTATAGTTCAGTGTACCTGAGCCTCACCCACTGCATGAAGGGATATTTTGTTCTGGTGTAGGTGACGAGGCTAAGACCGGCTGGTCTATAGTTCAGTGTACCTGAGTCTCACCCACTGCATGATGGGATATTTTGTTCTGGTGTAGGCCAAGACCGGCTGGTCTATAGTTCAGTGTTCCTGAGTCTCACCCACTGCATGATGGGATATTTTGTTCTTCTGGTCTATAGTTCAGTGTGGCTGCATGATGGGATATTTTGTTCTAAGACCCGGCTGGTCTATAGTTCAGTGTTCCTGAGTCTCACCCACTGCATGATGGGGTATTTTGTTCTGGTGTAGGTGACGAGGCTAAGACCGGCTGGTCTATAGTTCAGTGTTCCTGAGTCTCACCCACTGCATGATGGGATATTTTGTTCTGGTGTAGGGCCAAGACCTGCTGGTCTATAGTTCAGTGTACCTGAGCCTCACCCACTGCATGATGGGATATTTTGTTCTGGTGTAGGCCAAGACCTGCTGGTGAGTAGTTTGGTGTACCTGAGCCTCACCCACTGCATGAAGGGATATTTTGTTTTGCAGTGGGCCAAGACCCTGTAGTTCAGTGTTCCTGAGCCTCACTCAATGCATGATGGGATATTTTGTTCTGGTGTAGGTGTCGAGGCCAAGACTGGCTGGTCTGTAGATCAGTTTGGTTACTCCCCAACAATGACATACCTAATGAAGAACACAGGAATAGAGAATCTGGTCATACAGCGAGTCCACTACTCCATCAAGAAGCATCTGGCAGCAACACGGAACCTAGAGTTTAACTGGAGACAAGCATGGGGTAAGTGGAGCTACATATTGGAGCATGAGGCAAGCTTATAAAGGGAGATAGCAGATAACTACATACAGGTGTCTCTTTCATTGCCTAAATAAAAGGGGGGTGGGGTAGCCCAGTGGCTAAAGCACTGGCTTGTCATACCGAACACCCGGGTTTGATTTCCTTCATTGGTACAATGTGTGAAGACCATTTCTTGTGTCCCCCACTGTGATACTGCTGGACTTTTGCTGAAATCGGCGTAAAACCATACTCACTCTAAACAAAAATTGGAAAGTTAGATAAGAACTAAACCTGGTTTAGAACTGGTGGTGTTGTGCCCACTCACTAGATTGTTTGAATCGACATGGTTGAAGATTAACAACATTGTAGTATGTTAGAGAGGTTTCGGTAAAGATGCTTACATAGCGTGGAGCGGAGTAGTGCAGTGGTAAGGCGTCTGCCTATCACGCTGAAGACCCGGGTTCGATCCCCCGGTGGAGGCACCTAGTTTTGGGTCCCAAGGTGGGCACATTTGTGTAGTATCCTTGGACAAGATGCTTAGATCCACATTGTCTTAGTTCACCCAGCTGTAAAATGGGTACCCGTGAGGATGTGCTGGCAATGTGAGTGTTTAGTACGTTGCGCCAAACAGGCAGCATGGCTGTATACTCCCCAGGGAGTTGAAGAAGTATCGGAAAGTACTATAGTCTCCTATAACCGGGGATAGTAATGTACGTAGCGCCGTGAGCTGGCAATGTGCCTGGATATGAGCGCCATATAAGCGGACTATTATTACTATTATATTGCCAAGCAGGACTGAATGATGTGAGCAATGTAGAGAAATATGTATAGGAGGACCTACACTGTTGACTGTTGTGTCCCCAGCCTCGGATGTGGAGAATGACTTGTTCTGCCACGTGATGCCTTTCCTCAGCTACAGCATCATGTACTCGTGTGGCCCCGGAGCCCCATGTGTGCTGCAAGTTTGACTTCCAGAAGGACAAGTGTCTGCGTGGCAAGAAGACCATCAAGCCTGAGGTTGTAACAGAGAAGAATGTGGAAAAGCTGTAAGTTTTTACATAAATTGGATAATTTCAGAAACATTTTCCTCATCAACCTTAAATCTGATAACATGTTGATTATTTGATTTGCACTAAAATATAAGGATGTGTATCATACGGTCAACCTTAAGACTAACAGGGTCAAAGCAATAAAATATTAATCTAAAATAAAACCCTTATGACCATTAGTGTTGGGAATTGGTTGAAATCTCACAATTGATGATTGCTTCATTACCAACGAACAATCATCGAAAAAAATTAGTTAGCATCATTTTTCAGATTTTCCTATCCAGGTTGTTATTGTAGATAGGTATCAGATGATGCAGCTTGAAGTGAGTTTTCTAAGAATTAAACAAGTTTGCAGGCCCTGACAACTTCGAAGATATGTTCCATCGTCAAGTATTTCAAAGACTAAAACAGCAGTTCCAAAATCGTTTGTGTTCGATTATGAGAAAATGTGATCGATTGCTTGGTCGTTTGGTCACTTCGACCAATCTTCAATTATTTCAATTAATCAGAACACCACTAATGACCATATGTATTGTTTTTTTGCAACTATGCACAACTTACATCCTTTAATACAATTAAAATTAAAGGTACAATTAAGACCGCCTCCGTGGTGTAGTGGTTAGAGTGTCTGCCCGGAGAGCGGAAGGTCGCGGGTTCGATCCCCGACCGCGTCATACCAAAAGACGTTAAAATATGGTACTTGTTGGTCCCTGCCTGGCACTCGGCATTAATGGGTACAACAATGATTGTTCGGCTCGGAGTCAGTATAATGTGTCTGAGTGGGGTATTCATGCTTCACTGCAGCATGGTATCTCAGTGGGCTAGCACTATAAAACCAGCTTAAGTCTGGGCTAGTACAAGCAGCCGCACATACATACACACACATGCATGCGTCGTCATATGAGCGAAATATTCTCAAGCACGACGTTAAAACCGATTTCACCTCACCTTTAATACAATTACTTGATAATGACTGACAAGCAAATGTATTGGGTGTAAACATTAGTTCCTGTATATGTATACGTATCAGTTCTGTTGCACTTCTCTTGTCTGTGGTTATATCATTGTATGTCCTATTCCCATTGTTGATGTTCAACATGCCCTTGTCAGTTTTTCAGTTTATGAATTCGTCCAATGAAAACCAAAACACACATGTTTGTGATATATTTGAACTTGCTGGTTAGCAGAATAAGCTCAGGGGCGGTGGGGTAGCCTAATGGTTAAAGCGTTGGCTCGTAACGCCGAAGACCTGGGTTCGAGTCCCCATATAGGCACAATGTGTGAAGCCCATTTCTGGTTTCTCTGCCATGATGTTGCTGGAATATTGCTAAAAGCGGCGTAAAACCAAACTCAGTCAGTCAGAATAAGCTCATCTAAAAAATCTTACTTGTTCTCTTGTCACAGGAGATATTACTTGGTAACAAATGTGATGTCATTGGCTACCCTGATGGCACATCAAATGACATATTTGTATATTTGCGACTAACAGGATCGGGTGTTCAGGCACGCTGACTTGGTAGACACATGTCCTCCTAACCCAATTGCGTATATCGATGCTCATGATGTTGATCACGTGATTTACCGTCGTCATATAGCAGGAATATTGCTGAGTGCGGCATAAAACTAAACTCACTCACTCACTCCTCTCACTTGTGGCTTTTGTGTTGACCCGTGGGCAGATCATGGGAACTCTGGGAGCAGCTACAGAAGAAAGCTCACCTGTACAAGAGCAACGTGCTGCTGGTGCCCCATGGCGACGACTTCCGTTACTTCTCTGAATCAGAGTGGACCAAACAGTTGACCAACCTGGAGAAAATATTCACATTCATGAACAGCAAGAGTGATTTCCATATAAAGGTAAAACATGGCTGGACGCTGTATGGTTTTCATTAATCAAAGAGATCCATTACCTGTATGGTATGGTTATCTGTCTGTGTCTGGATATTTCAACATTGGTAAACACAGGGGCAATGGGGGAGCCTGGTGGTTAATGTGTTCGCACGTCACGCCGAAGACCCGGGTTCGATTCCCTACATGGGTACAATGTGTGAAGCCCATTTCTGGTGTCCCCACCATGATGTAGCTGGAATATTGCTAAAAGCGCATAAAACTAAACTCACCGCCTCACATACAAATCTGCTCATGATAATGAGCTAACAAAAAGTAAAACTTGACTGTAAAACTTTAAGAACAGTATACTATCTATGGACAAGACATTAGAGTGTAGTATGTCACTTATTGCAGATAGAGTTCGGGACACTGCGTGACTATTTCACAGCATTGGAGAAGGATAAGCCTCACTTCACGGACAAGTCCCCTTTCCCGTCTCTCAGTGGCGACTTCTTCCCCTACACTGACCGCAGTGACCAGTACTGGTCGGGTTACTTCACATCCCGACCCTTGTACAAGCACATCACGCGTGTCCTTCAGGCCAAAGTCAGGTATGGATCATTGATACGAGGAGCCAAAAGGGGCTTACCTAAACACCACCCTTACTTGCATTACCTCAACATTAACCTATTTTGCACTAAATTAACTAAATTTCCCCTTATAATTAACTAAACATGAAATCCCCTTGTAATGTAGTGAATTAATATGAAAGAGTTAATTTGCACCTAAAGTGAAACAGCTTTTAAACTAGTACATGTGCAATGTCAATGGGTAACTCAGCTGTTGCTGGGGTGGTGGTGTAGCCTAAGGGTGAAAGTGTTCGCCCAGTTTGATTCCCCACATGGGTACAATGTGTGAAGCCTATTTCTGGTGTTCCCTGCCATGATGTGGCTTGAATATTGCTAAAAGCGGTGTAAAACCATACTCATTCACTCACTCACTCACTCACTCACTCACTCACTCACTCACTCACTCACTCACTCACTCACTCACTCACTCACTCACTCACTCACTCACTCACTCACTCACTCGACTGTTTCTGTTTTGTCTTCTGTCTGTTCTATTCTAATTAAGTGGGATTTATTATGTTATTTTTGCCAGAAGCATGGGACTTTTTGTTTTATAGTTTGCTTTCCCATTATAGTAATATCATGCTCATGAATGTGCACATTATGTAAGTTATTGAGATAACTAACAGCATTGATGTCTTTCAAGGTTTTACTGCTGTTTCTTTCTTCCAAGGTTGTACTGGACTACACATCTGCTTTCCCAAACTTGTCAAGTAATCTGAAGTTCTTATGACTTTATGATGAAGACATGATGTTTCAAACTTGCATTTTTATCCCCTGGCATGTAATGTGGGGAGACATAGTTGACGCCTCGTCCATCTGTCCATCCACTATCATTTTGTTTCCGGAGCATATCTCTAAAACCGTTCAATATTTTCCAATAAAAATTGGTAGATATATCAAGCGGAACCTAAAGTGGTGCCATTTGCTATTTGCAGATATTTGCTTTTTATTTTTCTGGTTTCCATGGAAACGATTTGGACTTAGCTTCAAACTGGAGGAGTGGACTTCGTTTCCAGAGCACAACTCGAAAACCTATCAATATCTTTCAACAAAACTTAGCAGATATGTGAGACAGATCCCAAAGTGGTGCCTTTTGCTATTTGCAGATTTTTGGCATATAAAATTTTCTAGGTTTCCATGGAAACGATTTGAACTTAGTCTCAAAAGGGAGGGGTTCGTTTCCAGAGCATGACTCGAAAACCATTCAATATCTTTCTACAAGACTTGGCAGATATATCAAACAGATTATGAAATGGTGCCTTTTGCTATTTGCAGATTTTTGGCATTTATAGTAGTCATGATTTCCATGGAAACGATTTGGACTTAGTCTAAAATTATCAAGTTGGACTTGAAGTAACTGTCAGTCAGATGATTTGTTCTTTCAAATGTGTGTGTGTGTTGGGGGGGGGGGGGATTTGTCATCTTCTGATTACTCTTGTTTGGGCATGTGTTTTCCTAAATTCAAATGTGATGTCTTTAAACAAGTGTGGTTTATAAGTTTGTTAGAGGCATGGAACTTTCTGTTACAAGGTTGTAATACATTGAACATATGTTTAATCAAACCAGTGAAGCCATTAAACCAGAGCTAAACTCTGGACTATAAGTTAGTGGCACGGGAAGAGTTGTATGGAAGTAAACAATGACAGGAATTAGACTAGATATTGTTGAAGATCACAATAATAATTAGGATTTCTCATGTCTCTGGAATGAAAGTTTTTGTGCTTTCAGGACAAGCTGATAATGGGGGCTGCTTCTGTTTTGTTTATGTAATGCAAGCTGTTCTCAGTGTTGTGATGTTAAATGGATGGGTATATTAGATTACTTGATGTGTGGTAGTAATCATGGTATGTACACATTACAGGTTACTTGATATATGGTACACCCTGTGTTACGCCCGTGCCATGAGGAGGCAGAAGACAGCAGTGGTGTCATTTCTCCGTGAGAGGTTCCCCATCGTTGTGTCCGTCAGGAGAGCCAACGGTCACTTCCAGCACCATGATGCCATCACTGGGACATCATCATCATCGGTCACTAAGGATTATGCAAATATGTAAGCACATGATTGGTGTATTTTAGTCTCTGGACTCTGTTGGAAATTTGGTTAAAATTGCTCTCATCACTGTTATTCCCTCAACCTGAAGGTGACTTAATTGGATTGGGTGGTCAGGCTTTGTGACTTGACTACTTGAGGGTTGATTGGCCAGTCAAGTTCTGGGACGTGTCTGATTGTTTGAAGATTGGGTGGTCATTCTGGTCCTTGTGGATGGTTAGGCTATGAGTGACTACTTGTGTGACTCTGTCGTTGGAAATTTGGACTTGTTAAAATGAGTGGTTGATTGGTGTTGTCAAGTTCTGTTGTTGACGTGACTGATTGTTTGAGTGTTTGTTGACTTGACTGATTGTGTGTGTGAATTGAGTGTTCAGGTGTTGGACTTGACCTTGTGGATGGTTGAATTGAGTGTTCAGGTGTTGTTGACTTGACTGATTGTGTGTGAATTGAGTGTTCAGGTGTTGTTGACTTGACTGATTGTGTGTGAATTGAGTGTTCAGGTGTTGTTGACTTGACTGATTGTGTGTGAATTGAGTGTTCAGGTGTTGTTGACTTGACTGATTGTGTGTGAATTGAGTGTTCAGGTGTTGTTGACTTGATTGTGTTAGACTGTGAATTGAGTGTTCATTGTGTGAATTGAGTGTTCAGGTGTTGTTGACTTGACTGATTGTGTGTGAATTGAGTGTTCAGGTGTTGTTGACTTGACTGATTGTGTGTGAATTGAGTGTTCAGGTGTTGTTGACTTGACTGATTGTGTGAATTGAGTGTTCAGGTGTTGTTGACTTGACTGATTGTGTGTGAATTGAGTGTTCAGGTGTTGTTGACTTGACTGATTGTGTGTGAATTGAGTGTTCAGGTGTTGTTGACTTGACTGATTGTGTGAATTGAGTGTTCAGGTGTTGTTGACTTGACTGATGTGTGTGACAGGTGTTGTTGACTTGACTTGATTGATTGTGTGTGAATTGAGTGTTCAGGGTGTTGACTTGACTGATTGTGTGTTTGTGTGAAATTGAGTGTTCAGGTGTTGTTGACTTGACTGATTGTGTGTGAATTGAGTGAACTTGACTTGTGTGAATTGAGTGTTCAGGTGTTGTTGACTTATGTTTGTTGAGTGTTCAGGTGTTGTTGACTTGACTGATTGTGTGTGAATTGAGTGTTCAGGTGTTGTTGACTTGACTGATTGTGTGTGAATTGAGTGTTCAGGTGTTGTTGACTTGACTGATTGTGTGTGAATTGAGTGTTCAGGTGTTGTTGACTTGACTGATTGTGTGTGAATTGAGTGTTCTGACTGATTGTGTGTGAATTGAGTGTTCAGGTGTTGTTGACTTGACTGATTGTGTGTGAATTGAGTGTTCAGGTGTTGTTGACTTTGACTGCACTCTGGTCCTGAAAAGACATCTCTGTATCTTGACCCTCCTTGGTGAAACACTAAGTTCAGACTAATGTTTGTTACAATAAGTTTCAAGATGATGTAGAACTCAGTAAGAAGTGTCAGCCGACTGAATGTAGTTGTATATATGTTGTACAAAATGTACTTGTAGTTTACTGTATGCCATGGAAAAAGCTGATGCCGTCATCGGTGCCATCACCACCATCTTCATGACGGACGGACCGCTGGAGGAGGGAGGCATCACTTCACACATCACGCCGGTGAGTATCAAGTCAGTATTCATCTGCACCTTTCTACTGAAGCTACAGCAGTGTAGAAGGGTGCTCATGTTCTTCATAATGTTTTGTCGTCACGATATGGCTGAAATATTGCCTATGTGACGTTAAATAATAACTCACTCACTCACTCATAATGTTTTGTGTTCCTAAATTTCCCTCACTGGAGATAGCATGTCACGTTGTTCAGGTGAACTTTTTTCAGGTGCGTTTTTGTTTCTGAAATACGAACATTCATGCAATCGCTATTTACTTTATTACTGCGTGAAACACGTGGAGTTGAACTTGCACGAGGTTTCTTTGATAGCAGTCTTGAACAGAGTTGTTAGAACTTCGGACTTGAGTGGTCGTGCTCTCCACGACCTCTCCAAAAATTAGTGTTAGAACTTGAGTGGTGAGCGGTTGTATATTTGACGGCCTATCGTTATATTTGAATTATAACTCACCAGTTTATAGGCTGCATTCTGCAACACCTATCGATAGTTTTTGTTGTAGTCACAATAGGACTGTATTGTTGTAAACAGGTTACCAACTGTATACATTTGTGCAAAACAAAAATAGAAATAGAATTAAAGTGAAAATAGATTAGTCACAGTGTTGAGAGTTTAATTTATAGAACACTGCGTAACACACGTTTTGTTGTATCAAACATGTTCATGTTTGTAAAGATATAATTTCTTTTCACAGTTTCAGTATGACAGCAGAATAATTAGTTACAATGTATCCACAATGTGTTGTGTTTCAGATTGAGGAATGGAAACACTTTGATGAACCTCTCATGAGAAATGCCTTCAATGTTGATGAGAAGAGGTCAGTGATATTACTGTTTCAACTCAACATATCTTTACTTGCTGCATTTCGTACAATAGCAGCACATTATCTTTACAATAGCAGCACATTATCTCTAACATTGCTTGGGTTGAATAAACAGTCTTGGTGTCTATGTTCTGATAACAGCACATTATCTTTTACATTGATTAGGTTGAATAAACAGTCTTGGCGTCTATGTTCTGATAACAGCACATTAAAATCTCTTACATTGCTTGGGTTGAATAAACAGACTTGGTGTCTATGTTCTGATAACAGCACGTTATCTCTTACATTGCTTGGGTTGAATAAAGAGACTTGGTGTCTATGTTCTGATAACAGCACGTTTTCTCTCACATTGCTTGGGTTGAATAAACAGACTTGGTGTCTATGTTCTGATAATAGCACATTAAAATCTCTTACATTGCTTGGGTTGAATAAAGAGACTTGGTGTCTATGTTCTGATAGCAGCACATTGTCTCTTACATTGCTTGGGTTGAATAAACAGTCTTGGTGTCTATGTTCTGAATAAACAGTCTTGGTGTCAGCACATTATCTCTTACATTGCTTGGGTTGAATAAACAGTCTTGGTGTCTATGTTCTGATAACAGCACATTGTCTCTTACATTGCTTGGGTTGAATAAACAGTCTTGGTGTCTATGTTCTGACAGCAGCACGTTATCTCTTACATTGCTTGGGTTGAATAAACAGTCTTGGTGTCTATGTTCTGATAACAGCACATTATCTCTTACATTGCTTGGGTTGAATAAAGAGACTTGGTGTCTATGTTCTGATAACAGCTCAGTGAATTGTCTCATTTGAAGTCAAAATGATTGTATAGTTTATATGAAAAAACAACAAGTTAAAGTAGTTTCAGTCTCTTTTGATAACTGACTAGAAACTCGAACCCCAGATCAAGTAATTGGTCATGTTTGTTAAAGAGGTATCAGGAGCGGATAACCCTAAATAACAATTGAACGAATCTGGTGCTTCCTGCATATTACGCTGCATATTTATCAACGGAAGTCAATTACTAAACTATCGATAGTCACAGATACTGTCGATGCATCGATAGGTTTTCGTTTCTACTATCGATTAATTGCTATCGGAGACTCAACAATTGCAAGTCATCGATAGTTGGATGCATCATTACAGCCCTACCGCTTCCAGTGTTCATGAGTTTCAGACAACATTAGTGAACCTCTAAAACAGACACCACTTTCGGCTTTGCCTTCCAATTAAACTGACAAGTCATGATATTCTGGAATACAGCTGAAAGTGGGGTTAAACCCTCCATGCTGTGAAAAAGTCACTTTGCCGACACAACTTCTAGGCTCAACAAAGTTTTCTGTCCAGTATGTTGTCACACAACACAATAAATGGCAATATGAACATATGCATTTCACCAAATGCATTTGGTCAGCAAGCCTGGGCTTCGGATGACCAATCTCTGGCTGTTCTACTGATCAGTTGATCGTCGAGTCATTCCGTGAAAAATCACTGAGCATGTGCAGTGTGCCAAATAATTTCCAAATGTTGCTAGACATTTGGGCTTGCTATGCCTGAAAGCTACTAGCCCACGAAATAATTCACAAGCCCAAAATTTGAATGTAGACACAGGTTTCATCATTAAGCTGCTGATATGATGAACATTTTTATCAGGCCATAAAGATTTAAAAGTGTATTAACTTAACAAGTTGGAGAGAGTGATATATTTACAAAATGACCCCATGAAAAGTCACTAGCCAGTCGGGCCAGTGACTGTGGAGATTTACTGGCCCGAATGGATTTTTACTAGCCACGGGCTAGCGAGCCAGTGGCTATTTTGCACACTGTTGCCATCTCATGACATGAAAAACACGATGCCACTCGTAAAAATATTTTTTTAAGTCAATCGATGACAGATATGTCATATTTCACTGGACACATGAAATATCCTGTACGTATTTACATAGATATGAATCCATGCCTGAATAGTTGTCATTGCAAGAAATGTGATGGCTGTCTATAGTTGTTAGTTGTGGCTGCTTGTTATCCAGGACTGTTATCATCAGTAATCCTCTCACCACACGTCGCAGAGAGGTTGTGCGGATTACAACGCTGTCCCCCCGATGTTGCCATCACTGATGCTGACCTTGGATTTGTTCTATATCAGATTAACCCAGTGCTGACCTTGGACTTCAACATTGATCCCAACAGATTCGAGGCAAGATTGAAATTGATGATCTTGAAATAACTTCAGATGAAATAATTTTCTGTGAAATATAAATAAAAATTTATATGATAGCCGTTTCAAAATTTTAACTTTAATTTGAAAAGAAAAATGTATTCACACAAAGATATTCATCTTTCTGACTAAGGTACTACCAGTATTATTGTACAATGTATGATACATACAGTGATAAATACTGTGAATCTTTTCATCAGTTCTAAAGTGGTATGGTAGGCATGTTCCCTGGGCATGCTAGACATCAATAGTCCTGAGTTTGAATCCAGGTATCTTGGTTTGTCACCACCAAGCTCCTGCTCCTGTGTTTCACCAAAGTTTAAGCTTCTGAAACCTGCATCACTTTGGGTTTTCCTGCCACAATAATCACAAGCTGATGTAACAGGAATACTGTTTGAAGTGGCGTTAATCCCAACTCACTTGTTGTAAAGAAGATCATATGTGTGTTACTTAGGTGGCCTTCATGGTAGACTTGCCCCCGCTCTCCATGAAGACATTTTATCTCACACCATCCAAGAATGCTGAAAGATCATTTGCTAGAGTTTCAGCATTCAACACCAACTTTGCAGAGGACTTTAAGAAGTGAGTTTGTATATGCATGTCAAGGTTCTGGCACAACACTGTACATAGCCATAACAATTTGCTTTTGGCTGTATAGGATAAGCTTCCATTGCATGTGAGAAGACCTACAGACTTTAGCAGCTTTCAGCCAACCCGCTAAGACCATCTTTATCAATTGAGCATAATACTGAGCAATCCTCAGTCTGAATAAGATGCTCAGTATAAATTTATTGCTTATTGTCATTGATAAACACAGTTTATTATCATTGATGTTCCTTACAAACACAGATGACTGTATATGTTTGCTGTATATGTTGTTTATTTTCTCAGAACTCGATTCCGCATCAGTACTGGTCAGCACCCAAGAGTGCTTGAGCTGGACAATGGCTATTACAGGCTGTCTTTTTCTCCATGCACTGGCTTCCTGCAGGTTAGTCATTGTTGAGTGCAGATTGTGAAAGATGCTTTCGTTATATTCTGACCATGTTTCAGAACAGAGTGAACGGCTAGTGCTATTTGACAACAGGGTCCGAATACTTTTGACATAGCGACAAGACATACTGATCAACAAGCTAGATAATTGTGTGGATATACATCTTGTGTCAATGCAAACTTTCTGTGTAGTTAGGCATTTCCAAGCCAGTAACTGGACGTATGTTTGTGACGTCTTCTTCACTGTTTTCAGCATGTACACAGGAAGGTGGATGACTGGATGTGTGTGTGATGTCTGCTCCACATTTTCAGCATGTCCACAGGAAGGTGGATGACTGGATGTATGTGTGTGACATCTGCTCTACGTTTTCAGCATGTACGCAGGAAGGTGGATGACTGGATGTATGTGTGTGACATCTGCTCTACGTTTTCAGCATGTCCACAGGAAGGTGGATGACTGGATTTGTGTGTGACATCTGCTCCTCGTTTTCAGCATTTCCACAGGAAGGTGGATGACTGGATGTATGTGTGACGTCTGCTCCACTGTTTTCAGCATGTCCACAGGAAGGTGGATGACTGGATGTATGTGTGTGACATCTGCTCTACGTTTTCAGCATGTCCACAGGAAGGTGGATGACTGGATGTATGTGTGTGACATCTGCTCTACGTTTTCAGCATGTCCACAGGAAGGTGGATGACTGGATGTATGTGTGACATCTGCTCCACGTTTTCAGCATGTCCACAGGAAGGTGGATGACTGGATGTATGTGTGATATCTGCTCCACTGTGTTCAGCATGTCCACTGGATGACTGGATGTGTGTGATATCTGCTCCACTGTTTTCAGCATGTCCACAGGAAGGTGGATGACTGGATGTATGTGTGTGACATCTGCTCCACGTTTTCAGCATGTCCACAGGAAGGTGGATGACTGGATGCTCCTCGTTTTGTGTGAAGGTGGATGACTGACATCTGCTCCACGTTTTCAGCATGTCCACAGGAAGGTGGATGACTGGATGTATGTGTGTGACATCTGCTCCACATTTTCAGCATGTCCACAGGAAGGTGGATGACTGGATGTATGTGTGTGACATCTGCTTCACTTTTCAGCATGTCCACAGGAAGGTGGATGACTGGATGTATGTGTGTGACATCTGCTCCTCGTTTTCAGCATGTCCACAGGAAGGTGGATGACTGGATGTATGTGTGTGACATCTGCTCCACCTTTTCAGCATGTCCACAGGAAGGAGGATTACTGGATGTGTGTGTGACATCTGCTCCACCTTTTCAGCATGTGCACAGGAAGGTGGATGACTGGATGTATGTTTGTGACATCTGCTTCCCTTTTTCAGCATGTCCACAGGAAGGTTGATGACTGGATGTATGTGTGTGACATCTGCTCCACTTTTCAGCATGTCCACAGGAAGGTGGATGACTGGATGTATGTTGTGTGACATCTGCTCCACGTTTTCAGCATGTCCACAGGAAGGTGGATGACTGGATGTATGTGTGACATCTGCTCCACCTTTTCAGCATGTCCACAGGAAGGTTGATGACTGGATGTATGTGTGACATCTGCTCCACCTTTTCAGCATGTCCACAGGAAGGTTGATGACTGGATGTATGTGTGACATCTGCTCCACCTTTTCAGCATGTCCACAGGAAGGTGGATGACTGGATGTATGTGTGTGACATCTGCTCCACCTTTTCAGCATGTCCACAGGAAGGTTGATGACTGGATGTGTGTTTGACATCTGCTTCACTTTTCAGCATGTCCACAGGAAGGTGGATGACTGGATGTATGTGTGTGACATCTGCTCCACCTTTTCAGCATGTCCACAGGAAGGTTGATGACTGGATGTATGTGTGTGACATCTGCTCCACGTTTTCAGCATGTCCACAGGAAGGTGGATGACTGGATGTATGTGTGTGACATCTGCTCCACCTTTTCAGCATGTCCACAGGAAGGTGGATGACTGGATGTATGTGTGTGACATCTGCTCCACGTTTTCAGCATGTCCACAGGAAGGTGGATGACTGGATTTGTGTGTGACATCTGCTCCTCGTTTTCAGCATGTCCACAGGAAGGTGGATGACTGGATGTATGTGTGACATCTGCTCCACTGTTTTCAGCATGTCCACAGGAAGGTGGATGACTGGATGTATGTGTGACATCTGCTCCACCTTTCAGCATGTCCACAGGAAGGTGGATGACTGGATGTATGTGTGACATCTGCTCTACCTTTTCAGCATGTCCACAGGAAGGTGGATGACTGGATGTATGTGTGACATCTGCTCCACTGTTTTCAGCATGTCCACAGGAAGGTGGATGACTGGATGTATGTGTGTGACATCTGCTCCACGTTTTCAGCATGTCCACAGGAAGGTGGATGACTGGATTTGTGTGTGACATCTGCTCCACCGTTTTCAGCATTTCCACAGGAAGGTGGATGACTGGATGTATGTGTGTGACATCTGCTCCACCGTTTTCAGCATGTCCACAGGAAGGTTGATGACTGGATGTATGTGTGACATCTGCTCCTCGTTTTCAGCATGTCCACAGGAAGGTGGATGACTGGATGTATGTGTGACATCTGCTCCACCTTTTCAGCATGTCCACAGGAAGGTGGATGACTGGATGATGTGTGTGTGACATCTGCTCTACGTTTTCAGCATGTCCACAGGAAGGTGGATGACTGGATGTGTGTGTGAGATCTGCTCTACGTTTTCAGCATGTCCACAGGAAGGTGGATGACTGGATGTATGTGTGATGAGATCTGCTCCACTGTTTTCAGCATGTCCACAGGAAGGTGGATGACTGGATGTATGTGTGTGAGATCTGCTCTACGTTTTCAGCATGTCCACAGGAAGGTGGATGACTGGATGTATGTGTGTGAGGTCTGCTCACGTTTTCAGCATGTCCACAGGAAGGTTGATGACTGGATGTATGAGGTGCAGTTGAAAATGATGACATACGATACAGGATCCTGGTTCAAGGACAAGAGTGGAGCCTACACGTTCCAGCCCAATGGACCAGCAACAGTAAGTGTTGTTATTAAATTATCCTCATAGGTAGCAAAATAGAAACAATTTCCCCCTTTTTCTGAAATTTTGTCTAGGATTTGCACTATCTTAGCACTAAGAGAGCCTCGAAAATGTAATCCCTGGGATTTTTTTGCCACATACCACAGGTTTTGTGATAGGAGAAGACTTTCTTTGGTAATTTGCTGCGAAGAAATGAATATTGAAGTCATCTGTTTATGTAAACAACTAGATGCTTTAGATGCCAAAGTTGAGATGGGGTTATTTAAGAAAATGAATCTAATTTGCTTCAGGAGTTGGACATAGAGTACCCTGAGATGATGATGGTGGATGGTCCAGTGATGTCTGCAGTGTATACATCTGTGTCAGGAATACTACACTCTGCCACAGTGTTCAAGGTGGAAGGTAAGACATCGTTCCCCCTGGACTGTCCAGTAATGATGTCTGTGTCAGGAATACTACACTCTGCCACAGTGTTCAAGGTGGAAGATAAGACATTGTTCCCCCTGGACAGTCCAGTAATGATGTCTGTGTCAGGAATACTACACTCTGCCACGGTGTTCAAGGTGGAAGGTAAGACATCGTACCCCTGGACAGTCCAGTAATGATGTCTGCGTCAGGAATATTACACTCTGCCACAGTGTTCAAGGTGGAAGGTAAGACATAGTTCCCTCTGGACAGTCCAGTAATGATGTCTGTGTCAGGAATACTACACTCTGCCACGGTGTTCAAGGTGGAAGGTAAGACATCGTTCCCCCTGGACAGTCCAGTAATGATGTCTGTGTCAGGAATACTACACTCTGCCACGGTGTTCAAGGTGGAAGGTAAGACATCGCACCCTGATAACAACGCCCCTGATACGTCCCTGATAACAACAATAGCAATGTTATAGTTACATTGAGAACCTGGAGTGTGATTGTATCCTCTCAAAATGGAATATTGCACATGATGTATCAGCTTTGGTTTGTTTGCTCCGCACATTATGTACAGTTTCAGACTGAAAGACTGCTGACTGTGACGTGACATCATTCACCCATTGACTGTATATCTCAGGTTCCACTGTTGCCGGCCTTCACCTTGAGAACCTGGTAAACCTGAACAGTGAGCACTGGGACAACAAGGAGCTGGTGATGAGGCTGGACTCCAGCATCTACAACAGGGAACACTCCATCTGCACCGACCTCAATGGCTTCCAGGTCAGTTGTGTCCCACATCCCAGCTTGGGATTTACTGAAAAGCAAAACATTTGGTTATCTCCCTTAATGACAAGTTGCATTTTATCGCCAGGGTTTGTTTAGGTCATGGAATTCTGGAAAGTTCATGAAATTTTAGTTTTAATTTTCCAGGCCTGGGACAGTTTTGGAAAAATAACCGTGGAAAGTCATGGACAAATTAACATTGTTATAACAGTAGTCTGTTCTACTGATGTATGGGCGGCGTGGGAGCCTAGTGGTTAAAGCGTTTGTTTGTCATGCCGAGGGCCCAGGTTCGATTCCCCACATGGGTACAATGTGTGAAGGCCATTTCTGGTGTCCCCCTGCCATGATATTGCTGGAATATTGTTAAAAGCGGTGTAAAACCATACTCACTCACTCATGTTAGGGTATGTGACTTGGCTTATTGCATGCCATCTGCGCCTTGATTGATGCTCATGGTTCCAGTCACTGGTTTGCCTGTTCCAGACTAAAATATCTTTGGGGCAAATTTAAATATTGTTGTCTGTGTCATCGAATCACTTTGTTCCAGATGCACCGGAAGCAGTACCAGTCGAAGCTGACGATGCAGGGTAACTTCCATCCTCTCAGCACTGCAGCCTACATAGAGGACAGCCTAGGGTCCCGCCTCACCCTCCTGACCACGGAGACACACGGGGTGGCCAACCTAGAGCCAGGTAACGTGTATACTGGACACATAGGGTGGCCAACCTAGAGCCAGGTAACGTGTATACTGGACACATAGGGTGGCCAACCTAGAGCCAGGTAACGTGTATACTGGACACTATAGGGTATACTGGACACATAGGGTGGCCAAGCTAAAGCCAGGTAACGTGTATACTGGACACATAGGGTGGCCAACCTAGAGCCAGGTAACGTGTATACTGGACACATAGGGTGGCCAACCTAGAGCCAGGTAACGTGTATACTGGACACATAGGGTGGCCAACCTAGAGCCAGGTAACGTGTATACTGGACACATAGTGTGGCCAACCTAGAGCCAGGTAACGTGTATACTGGACACATAGGGTGGCCAACCTAGAGCCAGGTAACGTGTATACTGGACACATAGGGTGGCCAACCTAGAGCCAGGTAACACATACACAGGCCCGAGGCAGTCCACTGAGTGATTAGATATCATTTGTTAAAGGTCACATGCAACGTAAAACACAACTTTGCAGATTCTGATACCTTTCGGTATGGACTTACCGAAACAAAGCGTCAAAAATGCAAATTCAACTTATAAAGTTGAAAAAGGTAACGTATACTGACACATAGGGGTGATGAAAAAACAGCACCGAGGAAATCTGAGGAGTTCAAAGCGTTTCACTAACTTTTTTCCCCAGACTTTTCTGGGGAATGCAAATTCAACGAGGTTTCAACAGCTGGCTGCGCTCATAGAGTTCAAACGCGTCCCCAGCGCAGTGAAATAGGTTCGCCAAGCGCGCAGTGAAAACTTGGAACTTGGAAGCCGGGCTGTCTGGTGAATACCGGTGAAGGCTTTGGTGTGAGCTATTTTCATAATGTTTTGTTGATATCTCACAGGTAGCGAGCTTTTATATGTTATGACAGTAAATAAACTGTTTATATAATTTCATTTGTCTATTTCACCACACGTTCTTCTTACCGAGTCACTTTCTCAGTTCGATACTTAAAAGCAATGTCATTATTTAGCTTTGACACAATTTCTAACTGTGATATAGATATGTCGCTGTCACAGACAAAACTCAATGTCTTGTTTTATTGACACCTGTGTGTCTGCCTGCCTGTCTGCTAATGACAATATTCAATACACAACTGCGATCACTGACCACATGCAATTTGAACTTAACACCAATCAGGCTATACACCATAAACAAAACACATTGATTTTTGGCCCGAGTTCGGTCTCTGTCACATTATGTAATTACACAGACAGGCAGGTGTGATACTTGAACACATGACATGTTATGATGTCTGTTGATTGCAAAATGTTATACACAAAAAATGAGCATGTATTTACAAAACCCAACATCTCTATATATACACACACAATGAGCCGTGAAGGCAGCATCTGCTACTGAACCAGACGTTACACTTGAGTGCACACCCACCCGCTCTGACTGGGTTCGGTATCCTGGCTGCTTCGTTTCGAGGGAGGTAAACCCAAGTACAAAATATTGCACTTTTGATTTGCGATTATACGCTTATAATTTTGTTTATTTGTTTTTTCATAATCAGCAATGCATATTATATGTCATGAAGAAGTGATAATTGTGTTTTAATTATGTTTGATTTTTTGGTTGCATGTGACCTTTAAATCCATTTTGTCTATTATCTGATGTGTGGTTTATGTAATATATACTTAATCTGAAGGGATGACAAATGGGTTAGCAGCCCTAGGATCTGTTCGACAAAGCTATGATAGTATTAAGGTGATCATAATGCCCATACTTTAACATAGACTTATGACAGTCATTGCACTAATGTTGCTTTGAGGGATGTGGTCCTGTTAATCAATGAATGTCTTGGGTAGAGATGTTCATGATATATCGAGATCATGCAATGTTTCAACTGACTTGGCAAAGCTAACACATGAACTGTCTTCAGTTATTTCAAGAAGTGTCGTAAATCAAACACAGATTTAAATATTTACCCTCCGGGTTCTCTCCCTGTCAGGCTGGCTGGAGGTGGTGTTGGACCGCCGCCGCCTCATGCAGGGGGACTGGCGCGGACTGAATGAGGGGGTCAAGAACAACATGCCCACCCCTAGTCACTTTGTTCTAATGCTGGAGAAGTCACGCAGGAAGCTGGATGCAGGGGTAAGTTAGAGGGCGATATCTTATGGGCAGGTATAGTCCGTTTGGCTCAAAAGCGGACCGATGAATTGCAATCTAACTCGAAAACTAATAAACATAAAATACTCAATGAAACGCTGATCATAATCAAAACATCATACCCACTCTGTGAGGTTTTTGCAGAATTTTTGTCCTAAAAATAATAAAGTTGTTTAAGAAACTATCATTAAAATATTGACACAGTTCACTGTTTGTTACGAAGGAGGAGTGCAGAGAAAGGGACAGCCAGGTGTTCGAGAAGCACGTTCACAGACAAAGTTATTTATTCTTTAACCTGTGCTGTGCCGTCTCCATCCGTTCTCGAACACCTGGCTGTCCCTTTCTCTGCACTCCTCCCTCATAACAAATAGTGAACAGTGTCAGTGTTTTAATGATAGTTTGTTAAACAACTTTTTTATTTTTAGGACAAAAATTCTGCAAAAACCTCACAGAGTGGGTATGATGTTTTGATTATGATCAGCGTTTCATTGAGTATTTTATGTTTATTAGTTTTCGAGTTAGATTGCAATTCATCGGTCCGCTTTTGAGCCAAACGGACCATAACAACGACTGACCACAGATATGCTGACAAGTACCATTTTGAGCATTATTACAATTTTTGTCATTACATGTAATATTATTGAGAGCAAAATGTTAAATCAGAACTGACGTGAAGCTTTTACATTGAGACTATAATTAATGATTGATGGTGTCTTTATTCTGTCCATTGAGATGTGAATCTAAAACCAACTGTATGAATCTGCATGGCTGTGTTATTTGCATGTAGCCTGGAATGGCATAAAAATATACTCACTCACTCAGAAAGTTCCAAATTATGTAGCTCATTTCATTATTCAGAATGTCTGAATGTAAAATGTTTATGTACTGCAGCCACCAGTGCCTGCCTGCTTCCTCTCCCCCACCAGCCACCTTCTGTCCCAGTCTCTACTCCACCCCCTCTCTGTGGGTGTGGTCAAGACAGGGGGAGATGCACTAGGTACCAGGTACTTGCCCCAGCTGTCTCTAGTCAATAAGTCTCTACCTCCAGCCCTGGGGCTGGTCAACCTGCGTACACTCGGGGTGAATGACACCCAGGCAGTGACAAGTTTGCTTATAGTCCACCGTGCAGGGTTGGACTGTGATGTCACGGAGACCCTAGAAGATGAGCAGAATATGCAGGTGAGTGCATGTGGAATATGCAGGTGAGCGAATGTGGAATATGCAGGTGAGTGAATGTGGAATATGCAGGTGCGGACATCAAATATGTGGAAGTGGAAATGCAAGGTGTGATGTGGAATATGCAGGTGTAGAGTGGAATATGCATGGTGCAAAAGTGTGCACGGAATATATTTATTGACAACAAATACTATTGTAGAAAGTGGAAATGCAATGATGTTATGTCACTATATTCCACACACTTCCAACATTCCACAAAGCACGCTGAACTGCCATCACATCCACAATGTATCCAGGTGGTCTGTGGTTCAAGCCCCTGTGGAATATGTCTGATTACATGTCCAATAACAAGCCCAACACACATACATTAAGTCTTGCATTTTTTGGAACAATTATTTCTGTCAACACTTTGATGGTTTGATGACCAAGTTTAGGTACTTCTCTTGTGATAATGCTATTGTGTTACTTATCTATATATTGATTTATCTTGATTCTTCAGAGTTGATGTATCAATAATAAACTCTTCAGTCCACGACAGTAGTAAACATTATCTACATCAGGACATATTCTTTATACCCGCGAAGATCCGGGCTAGAATTGGTCTTCAGTAACCCATGCTTGTTGTAAGAGGCGACGAACGGGATCGGGTGGTCAGGCTCGCTGACTTGGTAGACACATGTGATCATATTCTGATTGCTCAATGCTCATGCTGTTGATCACAGGATTGTCTGGTCCAGACTCGATCATTTAAAGAGGGCCACCATATAGCTGGAATATTGCTGATTGTGGCGTTAAACAACAAGAAACCCCAAATAAACAAACAAACAAAACATTTTCTTTAAAGGGAAATAATCTTAGCCCTGTTCAGTTCTCAAATGCTAATCATTAGTGTTTCGCTGTTTAAACAAATATTCCCAACCAACAAACAACCTAATATAAAACTCACCAGCTATATGTTGACCTTATATTGCAGGAATCTCCAAATTTAAAGCTTTTTGAAGATGTGAATATCGTTAGTGCCTTGGAAACCAACTTGAATGGATTGAAGATCAAGAAGAAAATGTCATCATATGAGATGAACGTGCCACCCATGGAACTGAGAACATTTAAATTGTCATTAGGATAAGTCCATTATTCAAAGGTGTGATATAACTGTGATATCTTCTGATTATGCGTATATCAGTGGTACATTTGGGACCATCTGTTATTGATTATATATGTAAAAAATATATTTATTGAAATACAGAGGGAAAATAGTCTGTGGATGTACAAAAAAGTATTTAACTCTAAAAGTATCTTACTAAGAACCCCCTAGAATATTAATAGTTGCTTCCTCAGGTTATTCTCACAGTTACAGGCAAACCACATTCACCCCATCTGTGATCTCCACTCTGTGATTTTCAATTGTCATATTTAAAGACTACAATTTGTTGTTCATGTCAGACTGATTCATTTTTCAAGCGTTTACAAACAAACCGCTTCAGAAAAGTAAATAACACAAAAATGACGCTATTTAAATGAACATAAAATTTTTTTCAATTATGATCCTTTTTAATCTGTATTGTTAAGATAATAGAAAATATGAAATTACTTTTGTCAGGCTGAATTATTTTTAATCTTATTAGTATTGATTACAAGTCGTTTCAATGATTGTCTACTTTTGAAGACAGTTGTATCTCATGTCAAAACATATCATGTTTTCATTTATTTTGGAGATGTTACTGTTTGATAACAGTTATATTATACAAGTGCTTGATATGTTTTGAAATACTTGTGTACAATAGAAACAGTGACTCACTGAGTAATGTGTTTGTTATATCACAAAGCTACTCTCTGTATGAAGATTAGTACAAGGTTTAAGATCCTATGTTATTTGTATGATAAAGTAATTCCTGTTCTTGTTCTTGTATGAATTTTGGTGTTTGGCAGTCTGTCTTTTCAAAATAGTTTCATTTTTCAATTATCCATCATTCAAATATTCAGCTTATTTTAACCAAGGCTCTCTCCATCGTTCAAACATTCAGCTTACACACTTTAACACATACACACACACACACACACACACACACACACACACACACACACACACACACACACACACACACACACACACACAGAAGTAAGATCAGAACAGTCATTAACAAGATAGAGATGCTGTTTTGAAACACATATTGCTGTCAAATATCCAACTTAATCTAACCCAAACCTGATATTTTTTCTCTGAACTAGTGTATGACCCATTTATTCCTCGACCCAGCCCCCCCCCCCAAACACACTGTGGTAATAGGTCCACAATTAATGCTGCTAGTTCCTTATTTGGCATTTGAATTTATAAAAAGGGGCGACAAGGTAGCCCTCTGGTCACAGTATTTGCTCATCATGCCAAAGAAACTGGTTTGATTCCCCACATGGGTACAAAATATTAAGCAGACTTCTGGTGTGCACTGCTATGATATTGCTGGAATATTGCTGAGTGTGGAAAACCACAATCCCCCACTTCAATTATGTGTGTACTTGATCATGTACCAAATACCACACACACTCAACTGCTTCGCATTCTTTTCTGACACTTTTATATTTTATGTTTGGGTACACAATTTTTAACATTTTGTAAATACAAATGTGTATGCTATAATAATTGGTTGCTGTTCTGAAGAACATTTGATCTACACAAATTACTGTGATTGTAATATGAATCTCCTTTACGGACATTTCTGGTGTCCCCCGCCGTGATGTTGCTGGAATATTGCTAAAAGCGGCGTAAAACTAAACTCAGTCAGTCAGTCAGTCAGTCCTTTACGGAGGTGAGCTGCAGTCCCTAGAAAGTGATGAGTTGAAGAATATTTTGCAAAGTGAAATTGTGATGAAGCAAAATCTTGGAGCAATGATTAAGTGGCATTACTTGGAATTATAGTTTCATAAGTTTCATTTTTTTTCGATTCAAAGGGGACACTGAGGTAGCCTAGTGGTTAAAGCGTTCACTTGTCACACTGAAGAGCCTGGTTTGAGCCATTTCTGGGCCCTTATTCTTCAAACGTTCGTAGCTCTAAGAATTCTTAATTTTGATTGTAGCCAATGTGTTAAGAATGGGTTAAAGAAGTTCGTAGGGCTATGAATATTTGGAGAATAGCTAGTGGAACACTTTTTATGGATAGACAACTTCTTTGTTGCAGTAGTAGTTGCGACGTTTCAATGTAGATCCTAACACCGTTATCAAGCAAATGATACACAACATTTGCACAAGGAGTAATATATACATGGCGGGTATTGGTTTATACAATAGAAGAGGTTGATGTACGGTGTGTTGGCATGAGACTTGTTGTGATAGGAATGATTGAAGTAGACAAAGGAAACGTCTCAACTACTACTGCAACAAAGAAGTTGTCTATCCATAAAAATTGCTCCACGTCATCATACCAGCTTCTAAATGCCACTTAAGGAAGAATAGCTAGCCTGGTCTCCCCTTCATGATGTTGCTGGAATGTTGCTAAAGGCCTTAATTACATGTACTCACTCTCAGTTCAAAGGGGATTTCACTTCATTGTATGACTTTCTGAATGAAAAACTAAACATTTCTCAATGTCTAGTTTCCATGTACTGTCTTCCACTTCATTGCAATATGTGTTTGTGTAATGTACATGCTGGTGCCATCATTTATAGTGAAGAGTGATTGTTGATGATAAAGTTGTTCATCACATGTGTGATTTTTGTAAAACGTTAGGTATATCATCACATATGTGAATTGTGTACCACAAGTTAGTTTGATCATCACATGGGATTTGTGTACAAGTTAGTTTTATCATCACGTGTGCTTTATGTACCACAAGTTAGTTTGATCATCACGTGTGATTTGTGTACCACAAGTTAGGTTTATCATCACGTGTGATTTGTGTACCAGAAGTTAGTTTGATCATCACATGTGATTTACTAGTATGTACCACAAGTTAGTTTGATCATCACATGCGATTTATGTACCACAAGTTAGTTTGATCATCACATGTGATTTATGTACCACAAGTTAGTTTGATCATCACATGTGATTTATGTACCACAAGTTAGCTTTATCATCACATGTGATTTATGTTCCTCATGTTAGTTTGATCATCACCTGTGATATATGTCTACCACATGCCCATACCTTCATGTGACTGCCATTCATCTGTCAAGGTGTGAAAGATACACTATTGTAATATGAATCAGGTGGTCCTCTTTGACTCATTAGCTATATTTCTCTGTTTTTGGAATTGCACTATGAGCCGTGCTCTATTGCCAAGAAGGGAATACCATGCAATGATAGTGTGTTAGAGTTTTCTGGGTGAGGATGTTAGATGGAATAACTGTATATTTATATGGTTTTTCAAAAAGAAATAGTAACCATATCTGGTGTCTTGTGTTTGTTTCTTTCAAGTTCACCAGAACCAGAAGTGCATTTGAGGTTCAAGGCTGGCTGCAGAGATTAACCTGGGTAGACCATGGAGGACTGTCTAAACGGTTGAGTCTGTAACTGGGTTGAACATTTAGGACTGGCTGAAGCGTTGAATGTGAAATTGGGTTGAACATCTAGGACTGTCTGAAAGGTTGAATGTGAAACTGGGTTGAACATCTAGGACTGTCTGTAAGGTTGAATGTGAAGCTGGGTTGACTATGTAGGACTGGCTGAAGGGTTGAATGTGAAATTGGGTTGAACATGTAGGACTGGCTGAAGGGTTGAATGGGAAACCTGTTGGACTGGTTGCCTTCAGTCACTTTTGAATGTTTGTTCAGCAAAGACGAATGTCTAGGATGGTCTTGAATGTGAACATATTAGGGTGCTGTCGCCCGATACTAAAACGTACTAGAATCTGTACTTCATTGAGAAAGTGTATTCTTAAATATAACTTAACTACTTTGTTTCATTTGACGTTGGGGTATTGTGTTCCATTCTAAATGGATGGCTTGTTCCAGTACTTCAAATCTGTTCACGTGGGGGCTATTCTTTCTGCGACCCATAATGTCCCAAACATGCTCTGTGGGATTCAGATCTGGACCTCTGGCGGGCCAAGTTGGAGTTACTACCGATTCTTGTCGTGAATATTCACCTACGGCATGTGCACGAAATAGCCTAACATAGTCGTCAACTGAAGTCAACTTTCCCGTGACGTCGCGCTTGACACTAAGCTAGTCGTGATGCAAATCTTTGAAGGGCATTTCGAAGTGGAATGCATAAGAAGAACAAGATTTATGGATGTCAACTTCTTTATTGTGAATAACACGACCTGATGAAGGAGCAATCATACACTCCGAAACGTCGTGTTATTCACAATAAAGAAGTTGACATCCATAAATCTTGCTTTCTTTGATCGTGATGCGTTATGCTCTGGGAATACCAACGGACGTCGGATAGGTCTTCAGGCTTTATACCCGGCCGATTTTAGGCGATAAAGGACCGTTCTTTTGGACAAACGACGATGTGGAAGCCACTTTGTTTTAACACCCGACTTAACATGAACAAATGAAGTGTGTGATCCTGAGAAGGGCCGTATCCTTCCTATGACTTATCATTCATGGTCCACTTGAACGACCACCATCGTTAAAGGTCACATAAACCCTAGGGGGTTAAAATACATAAATCACTAACTGGCATCGTTATAAATGAAACCCCGTCATTAAAACTACTCATTTCGACCTTTAATTGACTTAAATCGACCTTTTTGACAACAGTGCACAATTCTCAACCGCGAACGACATTTCAACCAATCAGAGCGGCGCGACTCTGTGACAGCTGTGAAAGCTATATGTTCTCACAATCTACTGTCATTTAATTTTGTCTCCTGCTTTGCCTAGTTTCCGAGTTACAACTTGTTTTCATAGACGATTCTGTCACAATTGATTGTTGCGTTAGGCCCTATTTGTATAATGACTGATCCAAATTGATCCCATTTCTGTGTTTTTTTACCTCGATATTTAATCATGTCATGTAAAAATATGTTTGTATTCTCAAAACAGTGTCGGCCTATAAGTTTTCACATGCAATACAGCAATTAATACTCCCTTGTTGTAACCTACACATGTTATTTGTCATCATTCACTTGATGGTCAGTTAAAGGTCACATAAACCCTAGGGGGTACAAATGCATAAATCACTAACTGGCATCGTTATAAATGAAACCCCGTCATTAAAACTACTCATTTCGACCTTTAATTGACTTAAATCGACCTTTTTGACAACAGTGCACAATTCTCACCCGCGAACGAAATTTCAACCAATCAGAGCGGCGCGTCTCTGTGACGTCATATGAGGAATAGCTTTGAGGGCCGATGCAGAATTCATCTACATTTTAGGGGGTAAATTATCTTGTTTACAGGCTTGTATAAACCTGAAATCGTGACAATTGTTGTTGAAAATGAACGCTATATGTTCTCACAATCTACTGTCATTTAATTTTGTCTCCTGCTTTGCCTAATTTTCGAGTTACAACTTGTTTTCATAGACGATTCTGTCAAAATCGATTGGTGTCGTTAGGCCCTATTTGTATAATGACTGATCCAAATTGATCCCATTTCTGTGTTTTTTTACCTCGATATTTAATCATGTCATTTAAAAATCTGTTTGTATTCTCAAAACAGTGTCGGCCCATAAGTTTTCACATGCAATACAGCAATTAATACTCCCTTGTTGTAACCCGTGTTATGTGGTATAGACCTACACATGTTATTTGTCATCATTCACTTGATGGTCAGTTAATGAATTTATAACAGGTATAATTAGTGGTAACACACTTAGATTACCCGACAAAGGTTCCCATTTGGCGTTTCTTGTGTCTGGAGTAAATATTCAACATTATAAACATCGATCAAAGGATTAACCGATAACACGCTGATTGATTAATTACTTTTATCTTATACAGCGGAATTGTCAAAAGGTAGTGTTTATGTATGTAGATTTACTAATACACTCTGTCGTGTCGGTGTCTGCGTAAAAACAACGTCCTTCTTTCAAAGGATTAACCGGCAATACATTGATTGATTGCCCATTATTGGCTAACTAATTTACTGTTTTTAAAGAAAGGCGGACATTATGCAATTAGTTGCCAGGTGTGCTATCTTGGGTGACCAATGAGACTATACACCAATACCTGAAAAGATTTATCACTTTTTCGTATGTTAAACTGTTAAAAGACACATCATTTGGAACAGTTTGTGGATATTGATGGATACACTCCTCGAACAAGGTAATGGCCTGATATTGTTCTTATAACTTTAATCTGTTTTAATTTTAATATTTGCATGTTGTTTTTATTCATTTGTCGTAGCATTCAACAGAATCATTGTTTTCGCCGTGAAGTGTAATGAGACAGACAACATACACTAGGGTGTGTGTGCGAATTATGATTCACATTGGCAAACTATAAAATGTCTAGATATTACAGTTCACTATAAGTATCAGCAGATCGTCTGCTTTTTATTTAGTTTCAAAATGCATACAAGTATGATAATAAACTAATTAGGATTATAAGACCAAATATAAAGACGCACATTGACTAGTATCTACATACTGGTGAGTGGACATTAACCATGTGAATGTAGCAAGAAATTTATCGCGCAGTATTGTGACTTCGACCCCCACCTCGCTTCCGTGGAAGAAATCGTTATGTTATAAGTTGTGTCATGCAAAATCCGTTTGGTTATGATTCCAATACATATTTATCTACGAGTAGAAAGTAGTTTTGATTTTCTAACTTGATGAAAACAAACTATAATCTCATTAATTCTAACAGACTTTACGATTTTCAAAAATGGCGGCGCCTTGTTGGGAACATCCGCCAGTCTGAGGGATAAATGCTATTTAGGTTTGTTTTCACCGAGTTCGCTAAAATCAAAACTACTTCTACTGGTAATAAATATGTATTTGATTGATGGCCGGGAAGGATTTTTGCATGACATATGAAGTAACAATTTCACTCTTCTGGCAGCGAGGGTGTGTTATATATAATACGTACTGCCACATATTATTAAGGCTTCTAGACCACAACCTCACTTGCGTGGAAGAAATCGTTATGTTATAAGTTGTGTCATGCAAAATCCGTTTGGTTATGATTCCAATACATATTTATCTACGAGTAGAAAGTAGTTTTGATTTTTCTAACCATGAAAACAAACTATAATCTCATTAATTCTAACAGACTTTACGATTTTCAAAAATGGCGGCGCCTTGTTGGGAACATCCGCCAGTCTGAGGATAAATGCTATTTAGGTTTGTTTTCACCGAGTTACAAAATCAAAACTACTTTCTACTGGTAGTAAATTATGTATTTGATTGATGGCCAATAGGATTTTGCATGACATAGCGTATAACATAACAATTTCTCTCCTGGCAGCGAGGTGGGTGTCAATATAATACTACTTACAATATTATTGTTACTTCGACCACAACCTCACTTCCGAGGAAGAAATCGTTATGTTACAAGTTGTGTCATGGAAAATCTTTATGGTCATCAATCATATACATATTTTACTACAACTAGTAAGTAGTTTTGATTCTTTAACTTCCGTGAAGCGATCTGAACACAAGTAAGATATCGTTTCAGGCTTCCACAACGCTCGCTTCGCACTCACAAACATAACCCATTTAGCACGAACTGTGGGGTCCTGTGGAAATCTGTGCATGGTGACACCATCGCCCGACCCCTAGGAGCAATTGACGACAAAGCAACGATTCGACATGTCGTCGTTGATGTCGAGAAATCATCAAAATGATGAGCATGCTACACATTTTCTATACAACTAACTGAAAATCGTTCCTCATATGACGTCACTTCCGGTTCGCTGTGGCGACAGTTACGTAACCTGTCTGAGGTTTCGTTGGCGGGCGAGAGGGAAGCAGGCGACTTTTTGGCCAATTTTAATCGCTCGGTATTAATTAACCACAAGTTGTTAAAGAATAAATTTGGTGTTCCGCATAAGACTAACCACAAATCTTTCATATGTAATAGTTAAAAGAGTAACAAAAAACAAAGTTTAGTGGTTCTTTAATGAATTTATAACAGGTATAATTAGTGGTAACACACTTAGATTACCCGACAAAGGTTCCCATTTGGCATTTCTTGTGTCTGGAGTAAATATTCAACATTATAAACATCGATCAAAGGATTAACCGATAACACGCTGATTGATTAATTACTTTTATCTTACACAGCGGAATTGTCAAAAGGTAGTGTTTATGTATGTACATTTACTAATCTATACTGAATACACTCTGCCGTGTCGGTGTCTGCGTAAAAACAACGTCCTTCTTTCAAAGGATTAACCGGCAATACATTGATTGATTGCCCATTATTGGCTAACTAAATTACTGTTTTTAATGAAAGGCGGACATTATGCAATTAGTTGCCAGGTGTGC